CTTATGTTATTGTTTTTATGACAATAATAATAAAATGATAATGATCATGATAACGATTGTAATGATAGTAAAAAGGATGATAATTATAATAATAAAAGTGATGATGATGGAAATGTTCACCATTATTATGATTATTATTGTTTATTATCATTATTGTAGTTGTTGTCGTTGACGTTGTTATTATAATTATAGTTATAGTGATTATGATGATAATGAAAATGATGATAACAAAAAGACATAATAATGATAATTATAATAATAATGATGATGATGATGATAATGATAATAATGATAATGATAATAATAATAAGAAGAATAAGAATAATGATGATGATGATGATTATAATAATATTAATGATACTGCTAATAATAAATATAATGATAATAGTAATAATGATGATAATAAGAATAATGATGATGATAATGATAATAATAATAAATAATTATTATATTATTATTATTATTATTATTATTATTATTATTATTATTATTATTATTATTATTATTATTATTATATTATCATATATTATTATTATTTATTATTATTATTATTTTATTACTACTACTACTACTACTACCATTATTATTATTATTACTAATTATTATAATTTTTACCATCATCCTTATTATTGTTATTATTGTTATTACTATTATTATTATTATTATTATTATTATTATTATTATTATTATTATTATTGTTGTTGTTGTTGTTGTTGTTGTTGTTGCTGTTGTTATTATTATTATTATTATTATGATTATTATTATTGTTGTTGTTGTTATTGTTGTTATTATTATTATTGTTATTATTATTATTGTTATTATTATTATTATTATTATTATTATTATTATTATTATTATTATTATTACTATTATAATTATTATTGTTATTATTATCAGCATCTTTGTCATTATTGCTATTATTATCATAATGATAATAACAATAATAATAACAATAACGATACTAATAATGATAAGAGTAATAACAATTATGATAACGATAATGATAATAAAGATAATGATGATGCTACTACTAATAGTAATAATAATAATGATAATGATGATAATGGTAATGGTAATGATAATGATAGTAATGATAGTAATGATATAATGATATAATGATGATGATAATAATAATAATAATAATGATAATAATAATAATAATAAAAATAATAATAACAACAACAACAAAAATAATAGCAATAGTAATGATATTATAGTAATAGTAATTCCTAAGAATAAGGATTATAGTGACCATATCAGCATTATGATAATCATGATCATTATTTTGTTATTACTACTGTTATTATTACCGTTTCGTCATTAGTAAAGTTGTTCTTGTTGTTGTTATTTTCACTAATTCTATAGCCGTTTTTTATTGTTATTATCGTTATGATCATTGTTGTAGTAGTTTTTTCCTGTCTATTTCTGCTGCTATTACTATCATTTTGATAACTATTGTTTTTTACGACTACTACTACTACTATTACTATTACTACTGCTACTACTACTTATCACCATTATTCATAAAATGACTAATGATATGATGACATTCGGTAATCATGATGAGAGTAGTAACTCTGAAATATATGAAATATATCATATGATTAGCATTCTTATTAATCTTATTTATCGTGGTTCTTAATTACTTAATTATTCATGATATATTTTGTCATGATAATTATGGTCATACTGATGATGGTAATGAAAATATCATTATATGTATAATAATGATACTTGTTATGATAATAGTATTAGTAATAGTAATAATAATGATAATAATAATGATAATGATACTGATAATAATAACAATGATAATAATGATAATGGTGATGGTAATAATAGCAGTAATGATAATGATAATGATAATAGTTATAAGAATGGTAAAATGATTATGATCGTGATAACAATGACAATGAAAATGATGATAGTAAGGATGATTAGGAATAATCATGTTCATGATAATGAGAATAATTATAGTAATAGTAACAATGATAATAATTATGATAATAATGGTGATATAGTGGTGATGAGAAGAGTAATAATCATATTATTGTTATTATTATTATTATTATCATTGCCAGCATTTTTATATTCCTTCTATTATTTTTGTCATTATTTTTGTCGTTATAATTACTATTCTCATTCTTATCATTATTAATATCATTACCATTATCATCATTACCATTTGAAATCTAATTTCTGATATCATTACTGCTATTATATTTTTACTACAATTATAATTATTATCTTTTATTGAAATTGACATACTTTTTCATTACTATAGTTATTATCATTTTGAATGTTTTATTGTTTTTGTTGTTATTATCAATGTTATTGCTATTGTTGTTGTTGGTGTCATCATTATTATTATCACTCTCACTATTATATATATATATATATATATATATATATATATATATATATATATATATATATATATATATATATATATATATATATATACATATATATATATATATATATATATATATATATATAT